TCCTATGGTGAGGCGCAGGAGATGGAACTAAATGTAAAACTCAGTCATCCGTGTTAGAATACCAGTCATGGAACTGAAACTAAGTTGTTCTCTGAATATGTTTCCTGGAGAAACCAGAGAGAAGAAATAGATTCCCCAAGCAGGCCAGGTTCAAGGGCAGAAGACCTGAGTCCTGCCCCTCTTCCCCTACATGTGACAGTACCTCCATCTCCACACAAGTAACCCGAAGGACCAATATTACCCATTCCGTTCTTTTTCTACCTTTTTTTTTTCTTTTTTTAATGAAGAAAACCACGTCAAAATGACCCAGCCTCTTTCTGCTCTTTTCCTATGAAACTCACCTCCTCTGTTTGGCTGATGAGAACACCTGTTTAAAGAATGCAGCGCTGCTTGGGTCTAGAAAAACAAAATCATGTAAAATCTAAGTTGTTGCAAGTCCCATCCCGTCCCGTCATGTGCCCGCCCTCCCCACACCCATGACAAAGGATGTCACCTGGCTAATTGAGAGGACTTTCCCTGTAGACACTGTCACCCTCTAAGTTCACTTACTTCACGGTGGCTCTGAGGCTTGTCCCCTTTTCTGATAAGCCAGTGGGACAGACTCCTGTGCCGTAACTCTGCCCCTCATGTCCCCAGGTCTGAGTCTGTTGAGTAGAGCTCTTATGAGTGACGTAGGGGAGCTAGCTCCTTCTCTTCCATTCTTGCTAACATTTGAATAAATGTTTTCCTAAAGATAGCAGTAACTTAATTTCAGGTGTATCCCAGAGTCAATAGCACCATGTCAGTTTCTGAATTACTGTATTTAGTCTATGGTGTACGAGATTTCAGCATCAGGGGAAGTTGGTGGGCTGTATAAACATCTCTGCTGTTCTTGGAAACTTGTGTAGCTGTAAAATGTTTTCAGAGTTGGAAGTTCAGATCCTCTGTGGTAGTTTAACCATTCTTAGAGCTGGCTCAATTTTATTCTGCCTTTTTGTGTTTTGTAGAGGAGAAGGCTCCAAGGTAGACACCTTGTGGTCATCCAGCTTGTCCTCGATCTGCTGAAATGCAGCTTATTAAAAGGTAGAGGCTTTGAAAGCCTCACACATAGCTTTAAGGGACAGTTAGTTTTCCATGCCTGTGACAAACCACAGCTACTCAGCTTATTAATACTAGGGAGAAAGGGTGGTCTTGGCTCCTGGCTTCAGAGCTCTCACTCCACGGTAGTTGGGCTTTGGGTCTGTGGTAAGACAGAGCACCAGTGCAGGACACCAGTGCAGTGCAAAGCAGAGCTGCTCCCTCCCTGCATGGCAGCTGGGAAGCAAAGGGGGAGAGAAGGGGCAAATCCCCCTCAAGGGCATGCTCCCTGTGGCCTCACTTTTCCCACCCACCAGGCTCCACCTCCTAAAGGTTGTACCACTTCCCATTAGCGCCACAGACTGGAAACCGAGTCTTTGGAGGACATTTGAGAACCAAGCATAATGGAAAGATTGCCTTGACTAAGGATAATTAATTGAAATGGAAGGCACAGTTTTCAAAATGATCACTGCCACTGTGTGCAAAGTCTTGTCATCCTGGTGACAGCCGGGTGTCCACCTCTCATGATTCACTTCTCAAAACCCTTGTCTTTAAGTCCCCTAGTGGAGAGCTTGCCAAGACCTTTGCCCTAATTTCAGCTGATACTCAAGTTGAGAAATTAACTGTTTTACGGACCATTGATTACTTTTATAGTTTTATGGGATGGCCAATAAGCATTGCCAGAGAGCTGGGGCGTAGATCTGTTGTATAAACAGAAGAAAACAAGTGTAGTGGTACATGCCTTTAGTCCCAGCACTGAGTAGGCAGAGGCCAGCCTGGTCTACATAGTGAGTTCCAGGACAGCTAGGGCTAATAAAGAAGGAGAGAGCTGACTCCTGCAAGTTATTTTCTGACCTCCCCCCACACACATTAAATGTAATGAATAAATGTGCTTGTAAATAAATGTGTGCTAACATTATGAGAATGCCTTCATTTTTATTGCTTAACAAAAGTTTACTTAAGGCATGTGAACTAGAAGTGATTTGGGTTAATTACTATAATCTAAAGTTTATTTATATGAGTGTCCCTTTATTCATAAGATAATCTGTTGGGAAATATTCTTTTAAGGTGTGTTGCTTTTGTTTATGTTGCATTTGTTTAACTCTGTGAAGCTGTGTTACTGTGCCTGTGTAAACACCTGATGGTCTAATAAAGAACTGAATGGCCAATAGCAAGGCAGGAGAAGGGATGGGCAGGGCTGGCAGGCAGAGAGGATATATAGAGGGAGAAAACTGGGAGGTAGAAGGAAGTAGCCAGAGAAGGAGGAGGACATCAGGGGCCAGCCACCCAGCTACACAGCCAGACGTGGAGTAAGAAGAAACACAGAAAGTTATACAGGAATAGAAAAGGAAAAGCCCAAAGGTGAAAGACAGACAGGATAATTTAAAGTTAAGAAAAGCTGGTAAGAAACAAGCCGAGCTAAGGCTGGACATTTATAAGCAATAATAAGCCTCCATGTGTGATTTTTTGGGAGCTGTGTGGTAGGCCCCCAAAAGAGCAAAAAACAACCAACAACAGTAATTAGAACAGAATCCCTTAGGGGATTTTACCATGTGAACAACCGAAAAAAAAAAAAGTAACATGCACACATGCGGCACACAAACATATATTCCCAAAGATCCGCAGCTTTTATTTTAGAATTCTAGTCACTAGACAAGAGGAGCCGATGAGTTGGTTCAGTGGTCAAAAGCACTAAACATGCAAGCTTGAGAACAGAGGTCATCACCGGAACCCATGACAGGAGAGAACAGGCTCCCCAAAGTTGTCCTCTGACCACCTACACACACACACACACACACACACACACACACACACACACACACACACATGCACGCACACGCGCGCGCACACACACGCACACACTAAAAATTAAATTTATGAATTTATTAATATGAATCTAACCCATCTGTATTTCCTACAAAAT